CAATGCTGTAAAAGCCCTTAGACAAGTAGAATATAAGATAATACCTTTAATAGGGCCAACAGCCATTTTACAAAGAGCACTCTGGTATTAGCAGAGAAGATGGCTTCCACATGGAAATATTGCGAGACTGACGCACAGGATAGAAAAAGCTGATGGCTATGTGAAGAATGCATCCTCAGCATCCCTAAAGATATGTATTCTATGTGCTCATCTGTTCCAGTATTGGGTGCTTACTCTGTTTAGGCAGTTTGAACACCCATATAACTGCAAAATGTCCAGACGAGTAGAAAGTCTAGGTTTACAAAAGAGCTACCATGAGATAAGTACAGTAACTGGTATGCTGTACAAAAGACTGTCATGTTTGAGACTGCTACCAAATAACATAATGAAGACTGAGAAAGAGCACCAGGTATTCTTCCCAAGAGTCAAACAAAACTCTTGGGAAGAGTTTGGCTTTGGTTTCACAAATGGCGACGTGTGTTGGAAATGCAACAGCATATGCTGATATGTACTGATTGTATTACTGACATTCTGATGTGTACTGATATGTCTTTTGAGCTATAGATGGCGCTGTACTGCAATGTTACTCTCTATACATGCTTATCTATGATACACAGGAAGCTATTTTTTCTATCTATATGTTTCCTGTACAATGCTATATTCGTATAATGTTCGTATAAGCAAGTAAAACCTAAGTCAGCATTCCTCAAGATCTCAGTGCTTCATCTAAACAGTAAACACATAATCAATAGATTATGGGCCCAGACACTAAACAGAACATTGCAAGTCAACAAGAGCCACATCCAAGCTACTGAAATATGGCACGCTTTTCAGATATGAAGTTTGCAATTGAAAAGCTCAACAATACCAACCACCAGCTCGAAGTTCAAGCTTGAAATGCTGCTAAGCAAAGACGACATGTGGCAAGTAATGAGTACAGACAGACCCACTAATGGACCTATTTAAGAATGGGACAAGAAGAACAGGCAAGCAAAAACATTTATTAGTTTGCTAGTGGAAGACGACCAGCTCATCCACATAAGAAAAGGTGTGTGGACTGCATTGCAGAAATTGCATGAGTGTTCAAACCTAAACAGTAAACTATATCTGCTGTGCAAGCTATATAAGGTGAGGCTAGAAAAAGGCCAGGAAATGCATGAACATGTGGATGCCATGCTGGAAATCGTGGTACAACTACTTGCAATTAGAGGGGACATTAAAGGAGAACTATGGGGTCAGTGTTTTTCCCCATAGTTCTCCTTAGGGTAACGGGAGGACACAAACTAGCGTCCTCCCGTTACGCTAAGCTCAGTATACCGCTAGCTACAGCTCGCGGTATACTGAGACGCCGCAGCCAGAGCGGATCCCGACTTAGATGACGGGATCCCCCCAGCTGCGTGATTGACAGCTGGCTCTGCCTATCTAGAGGCAGAGCCAGCTGTACCCGCCCCCTCCCACGTCCGTTCCGCAAGTCAGCGCTGGCAGATCTGAGCGGGGAAAGGGGAATCCAGCCCCTCCCCCTGTCACGGCAGAGAGCCATGACAGGATTGAGAGGTGAGCGAACCCGGTATGTGTTCGCTCACCTCCCGATCTACTGAGCCGACCTGTGACAGTCTCATTGTCACAGGTCAGCTAGAACTATGAGGTGAGTGAAAAGCACTCACCTCATAGTTCTCCTTTAAAGATAACCACATGGTAGCATTACTGCTATGCAGCCTTTCAGAGTCATACAGTGCCCTTATTAACACTCTAATAAAACCAGATCTGAGTAGGAACAAACACTAGAATATGCCAAAGGAAAATGAATCGATGAATATGACAGAAGGAAAGAAAAAATGCACAATGAAGAAAATAAGAAAGCCCTTAAGGTGCATGAGAGCACAAATCAAACAAGGAAAGTAAAAAAGACTGGCCACCTGAAAAAGGAGAGGTGCCTACAAGAGAAAGAGCTAAGGTAGCCACAAAGGAAACTGCAGACACATCATGGAGCGCTACCTTTAAAGTGACTCAGAACAGTATACCACGCAGATGGTGTATTGACTAAGACGCAGCAAGCCACATGACTAGTGATGAGACATTCTTTACAGAGATTGATTTCAGTGCAAAGGACAAAGTTTTCTCAGCAAACAGGAAAAGTATTACTGCAGAAGGTAACGGTCAAGGATTCTTGAACTGCATCACACCGTCAGGGGACAAGCTGAGTATCCTCATGAACAATTTACTGCATGTTCCAGACCTAGAAGGAAGCTTCTATCAATGAAAACCCTTACTAATAATGGTCTCACAGTTCAGTTCTGAGGTGATGTACAATTTTAAACAATAAGAAAATCCTTGCAAAATGAAAACTAGATGAACACCTGTACAGACTCATCACCGAAGACGAACAAGTCAACACAGCCCCTCATAATCCACACAACAAATGGATCCACCTATAGAACAGACGACTAGGGCACCGAAACCCAGAAGCCATTAAAAACATTACAAAGAGAGGCTTATCAGAAGATATAACCATACTGCCCTGACGAATGCTCATGACATGCAACTGCTGTATGGAAGCAAAGGCCCCTTTCCACAGGCCACCCAAAGAAAGACCACCCACCCTATGGGGCTCATACACAGCAATGTGTGTGGACCAATGAAAACTCCCACATCAGGCGGGAACAGATATCTACCGACTTTCATTGATGATTATTCCAGGCACACAACAACTTATCTGATGAAGCACAAGAATGAAAGATCACAAAAACTTCAAGAGTTTGTAGCCATGTCCAGCAACAAATTCCAAAACCAGGAATTATACGCACCCAGGGCCGGTGCTAGGATTTTTGCCAACACAGGCAAAGTTAAATTTTTGCGCCCCCCCACCCCGCAACCACCCACCCACAGCAACCTCAGGCGGCCACCTGACTTGCCTTGAGGTAGCACCGGGCCTGTACGCACCAACAACGGTGGATAAAACATCAGTAAGGAAGTGGAATCATACCTGAAGACACAGGGTATAGTATACCAGGCAACCACACCATACACTCCTGAACAAAATGGTGTAGCAGAATGGAAAAATCACAATCTTACAGAAATGGCCAGATGCATGCTGTCAGACGCCAACCTACCTAAGAAGTACCGGGGAGAAGCATTCATGACTGCAACAAACCTACAGAACAGACTACCTTCAAAAGCCGTTGAAAGCACCCCATTTGGAATGTGGCATGGATCGAAGCCTAGCCTAGGGCACATCAGAGTGTTTGGATGTAAAGCTTACGCCTATATTCCTAACGAGAAGCGATCTAAGTTGGAGAACACAGCCGTTGAAGGTATTCTACCTGGTGGGCTATAATGAACAACGTTAGGGATATAGAATCCTCCACCCAAAGACTGACAAAGTGACATTAGGTTGCAGCATTTATTTCGATTAGAACTCATCGCCAGAAACAACGATACCGGAAAGTTGTGAAGTGAATTTAAGGATCTACAGCTGAATGATACACAAATAAAATTTACACCCGGTTGCCCCTGGCTCTGGCCAGTGCTGGAAAACCAAATAGAACAGTGTTCTGTTTCACTGGACCTGATCATGCTGGTCTGGGGGTAATCACCTGTCCGTTTACATCCGATTTTCCGTAGACCGACATGGGGTACGGTCATTACAGTTTTTTCTTCCATTGCAAGATGGAGGAAAAAAGTGGACACTGCGGTGAAATCTGATCTATACTGTTCCGATGCATGGATCCCCTCCTGATCGGATAGTGTAAAAGGGGCTTCAGTGCTCATGCACATGGGTGTTGTTTTCCTGAGTTTGATTTGCTTTTGAAATGTATGTTAAGTGTAGGTCAGCAATTCTCCATTGACCTTAAGAGCTGGTTCAGGTATACAGCGGTGACCTGCATTTTACTGTACCAGATCAACACAGGTCACTGCTGGGACACATAGAAAACAACTTACCACAACGCAGGCTTAATGGGCAGTGCAATGAGGAGAAATTTCTGCAGGGTACTAGATGCCACCGCAGGTCGCCACACGGCAGTGCAGGGACCTGAATTGAGTGTAAACATTGTACAATACTGATAAAAAAAGAAGAAAATTTAAACATTGACAGCTCTGGCTGTGTGTGTTGACCTGCCGCAATGCATTACCCCCTCTGCTAAAAATGCTGAATTTTAGCGCTCAGGCTTAGGGCCAAGTCACATCAGCAAGAGTGCGTTCCAGTGCAATCGGCGCTCATTTTGTTTTGGGGCGTGCGGGGGGTGGCTGTGCATTGAAGTCACGCCCCCGCCCGCGCATGCACTATTTTTTGCAGATCGCACTGGACCGGAACGCAGGCAATAATGTGCCACGTGCTCGGGTGCCGGTGATCACACCGCAGACGGGGTGCGTTGCCATTGAGTTCAATGCACTGCCATGCCCCCTCCTGCCCCAAAACAAAGTGAGCCGGCCGGGTTGCGTTCCAGAGGCGGAATGCACTGGAACGCACTTTTGATGATGTGACAGGGCCCTTACAGAGCAGTACACATGACAGTTTAGAGGCTGTGTTTGACCCGCTTTGAGTTGTGCTGCGTTTCTATGGATAAAACATATCCTACTGAGTGTGCTTGAACTGCAGGCAAAGAAAGATAATACACAGTCTTTTTTGCTGCATTTTCCAGCTGTGTTTGACAAGGATGCACCTCATAATCAGCAGTTACAAGCACAAAGAATGGGAAATCCACTAATAATAATAATTTTGAAAGAAACAGATTTGTGCAATGAATGTGAAAGTATGGTGCACTGACAGCTCTGCTCTTACAATATGATTGATTAGTAATTTGCACATCAGAAGCCTGATCCATTCACTGGCCTCCAGGGTGGAGCAAGGAGCATGCCTGTCTAGAGGATGTTAGAGACACCCCTTCCATGTAACAGCAGGGTCACATGATTTCCTGGTCATGTGATGCAGGCCCCACACAGGTGCAGAGGAGGAGCAGGTGATACAGCTTGACACGGCATCTGATGGTTAATGGCTTGTCATGGCTCACTCTGGTAATCCCAATCCAGTGGTAGGTGTAATACAATAATAGAAGTAGTAGTAGTTTTTTTCTATTTATGTAAGTTGTCTTTATGGGCTGCTGTGTAAAAACTGGAGTAAGAAACCTGGAGCAGTAGCCCATGGCAACCACATTGTTTGCTTCATTTTTGGAGGACACAAAGTCCTAACTGGTTGCTTGGGTATCTGTGACACTTTTCTGCAGGTTTCCATTCTCTTTTTTGTTTTTTTTTCATGTGATCCCAGTTTATTATGAATTTATTTGCTTTTTCAGAGACATCTTGCTGCTGAGGCTTCTTTACAAGTAGGGCATGTGTTGCACTACCACATGTTTCCAGGTGAATGCGGTCTGTGTTTACCTCCGAGGTATATAAAAGTGCTCTTTAGTGAACAGCACTAGTGATCAGGCTGAGCTTGGTTTGAACACACTGCTCCTAAATTTCCCCAAGCATGCTCAGATCTGTGACTGCCAACCCTCCTCCCTAGCCACTCTGTTATGGAGATGTGCATTCCGCACCCTGCATCTTAATGCCACAGGCAGGAATGCTTTTGCTTCCACTGATTGGGTGGGGAGGAGGGGGTTGTGGTCACAGTTTTGAGTGGGCCAGGGTTCACCCCAAGGTGATGCTCATCTCTAAATAGCATATCTCAACACATACATTTAGGGCCGGCTCACACCAGGGCGTTCCAGAGCGGTCAGCTGCTGGAACGCACTATATCGCATCCTGGCTGGCTTCCTGTGGGAGGGGGTGTGGCGGTGTGTTGAAATAAATGGCACCGCAGCTACGCCCCCGGCCCGCAGTGCAACTTTGAATACAGATGTCATCAGCACACCAGCACAACAAGACTTTTAAAGGAGAACTATGGGGTCAGTGTTTTTCCCCATAGTTCTCCTTAGGGTAACGGGAGGACACAAACTAGCGTCCTCCCGTTACCCTAAGCTCAGTATACCGCAAGCTACAGCTCGCGGTATACTGAGACGCCGGAGCGGATCCCGACGTAGATGACGGGATCCGCCCAGCTGCGTGAGTGACAGCTGGCTCTGCCTATCTAGAGGCAGAGCCAGCTGTACCCGCCCCCTCCCCGTCCGTTCCGCCAGTCAGCGCTGGCAGATCGGAGCGGGGAGAGGGGAATCCAGCCCCTCCCCCCTGTCACGGCAGAAAGCCGTGACAGGATCGATAGGTGAGCGAACCTGGTATGTGTTCGCTCACCTCCCGATCTACTGAGCCGACCTGTGACAGTCTCATTGTCACAGGTCAGCTAGAACTATGAGGTGAGTGGAAATCACTCATCTCATAGTTCTCCTTTAAGTCTGGGCAAATCCATTTATTGATACATGTCACTCAGAATATCTGCCTGCAGTGCAATCTCCCGCACCAGAATGCGTGGCACATCAGTGCCTGCCTTCTGGTTCAGTGCGATCTGCAAAAATAGTGCTTGCTCTGGAATGCACTGTTTATGGTGTGAACCGGCCTGAAGGCCTCATTCACAGCTAAGCATAGCTAGGCAATTTAGAGGCTTTTTTTTTTTTGTATGTGCGATTTGTAGTACAGGAGCAGAATCGTGTGTTTTTGGCCCCAAAGACTCTTAATTTGGGGCTCCTGAAAAATGCATATAAACATGTGTTGTTCCAATCATTTTTCACACACTCTCATAGAAGATAGTGATTAATTCTGCCCCAAAAGAAGCTCATGTAGGAGGAGGGGCATGGCGGTGCATTCGAGTCAATAGCACCACACTACAATGCCCGTGTTCCGGTCCAGTGCGAACGCAAAAAATATTCCTTGTACCATTTTTTGTGATCGGACCGGAATGCAGGCATTACTGTGCCAAGCGTTCTGGTGCGGGCTATCGCACGGTGGGTCGTGTTGCTGTGGTGCCAGTGTCTTGCATGCACTGCCACGCCCCATTTCCACCTCAGAACTCAGTGAGCCAGACAGTATGCGATCAAGTGCGTTCCAGCAGCTAATCCAGTGGAATTGGTGTGAACAAGCCCTTGCTGGGTTGAATTGCTTTAGCAAACAAGCCTCAAAATGCTCAGGTGTAAATGGGGTCAAAAGCAGATTCAAGTGTTGTGACTGATGAGATCAGCTGATCTGCACCACACATGCATTAGTGCTTGTATTTACCATAAAGGTGGCCATACACTTTACAACCATCGCAAGACCTTAGTCTTGCGATGGTTGTAAAGTAATTAAAAAAACGTACGATCTGCCCATCTTGGACAGGAAGATCGTACTTGCGATCATCGCAAGCCCGCCCCCCTGAGGGGCGTGCTTGTGATGACCGCAATGCTGAACGGGCATTGTGCGCGTGCGCACACCGGCCCGTTCGGCACTTGTCTCCCGAGCAGCATTCAAACCTGGTTTTCTAGCATGCTCCTTAGACAAAAGACGTGCGACTGTACAGTAGAAACGGTCGCACGCCTTCATTCACACTGCACGATTCTCGTACGATCGCGGGATTTCCTGTGATTCTCGTACGAGAATCGTGCAGTGTATGGGCACCTTTTGTGTATATGCATTTTGTGTGGACATACATATTGAGGGGAATTTATCAAAACTGGAGCAGACAAAATCTGGAGCAGCTGTGCACGGCAACCAATCAGCTTATATCTTTCATTTTCAAATATTAACTGAACAAACTGAAGAGCGAAGCTGATTGGTTGCCCTGGGCAACTGCTCTAGATTCTATCTGCTCCAGTTTTGATAAATTCCCCTCGTTGTATGCAGCAATGCGGGTGTAGACTATAATTCCATCATGCAGATTTTTACACAGGCTGGCCAGGAGAGATGATTGGCTGTTGGCTTGTTTTCATTCACACAGTCCCAGAATTGTAATTATCTTCAATGAATGGGTTAATCTGATCCCTTATTAACCCCTTCATGACTGAGGCCTTTTTTTCATTTTTTGCACCCATGTTATATTCCACATTTTAGGCCTGAAAATTACTTAAAACCCCCAAACATTATATATTTTCTGAATGCCAAGACCCTATAGAATAAAATGGTGGTAGTTGCACATTTTATGTTGCGCAATATTAGCACAACTCCTTATTAAACTAGAGCTGCAGCTAACGATTATTTTCAAAATCGATTAGTTAGCCGATTATTAAGTTCGATTAATCGGTTAATCGGATAAAAAATGAAATACATTTTAAAAAATGGCTCCAGTGATGGACTACTGGTTTGTATTGAGGTTGTAGTCCAGGAGCGAGCCGGGAGCGGTGGAAGTAAAAAAGAAAAAGTGTGGTGTGCAATATAGTGACATGGAAAGTGAAAAATTATACAGCAATGAATGCAGAATGGCACCGGCTATAGAGGAGTACAACAAATCCCAGCAATAGTACATTATACAGCGCAATGCAGAATACCACCAGCTATAGAGGAGTACAACAAATCCCAGCAATAGTACACTATACATACAGTGCATAAAGTATTGCTGGGATTTGTATTCCTATGTATAATACACAGCACAATGTACCACCAGCTATAGAGGAATACAAATCCCAGCAATACATTATAGAGCACCATGTGTGGGAAAGTGCAGGCTTACCCATCTATAGGCGGCTGTCATCCCCCCACACCTGCTCCTACTTACTGCTCCTCCCCACGTCCCTGTGCCGATTGTGGATGTGGGCGGGCGGTGAACGTGAGGCGGGGAGGAGATGCGGCGTGTGGAGCGTGGATGCGGGCGGGTCTGGCAGCGGCGAACATGAGGTGAGGAGGAGGTGCGGCACACGGCGTGTGTGGAGCTGTAAACAACGCCAACCAATCAGAAGCCGATTAATCGATGATTGAAAAAGTTGACAACTTTTTCAATAATCGATTATAAACGATTATGTCGATTAGTTGTTGCAGCCCTATATTAAACCCCAAAATTTAGTGACAAATTTATTTAAATGCCCCAAAACACAACAAAATACCAATGTTTTAAATGAAATATAAAAGATGACGTTACAACGAGTAAAACGATACTCAACATGCCCAGTTTACAAATTGCGTGCGTCCGTGAAACGGCGAAAAACTGCAGTACCCCAAAAAGTCCATAGCAGACGCTTTAAAAGCAATCAATTTAGAGATACCTCAAAATACTGTCCCTAGAATTATTGCTCTTACTCCGGCGTGCGCGGCGATACCCAACATGTGTAGGCGCACCCGACTCGTGTTTACGTGGCGACGCGCGTGCTCGCCGGGGCGGGGGACTTTACATTTTTTAAAATTATTATTATATATCATTTTAAAAACTGTTTTTTTTTTTTTTTTAAACTTTACTTTGACTGCTATCACATAGCAGTCTTGCGATGGTTGTAAGGTAATTTAAAAAACGTACGATCTGCCTTGCATAGGCAGATCGTACTTGCGATGATCGCAAGCCGCGCCACCCCTGAGGGGCAGGCTTCTGATGACCGCAATGCCGAACGGGCAGCGTGCGCTTGCGCACACCGGCCTGTCCGGCTTTTATCTTACGAACATGCTACACACGCGGCGAACATCGTACGATGCTCGGCGGGTTTTCAAACATGTTCGTAAGTTAAAAGTCGTGCGACCTTACAGTAGTAGAGGTCGCACGGCTTCCACACACCTTACGATAATCGTACGATCGCGGGATTTTCCGGCGATTATCGTACGATTATCGAAAGGTGTGTGGGCACCCTGAGATGAGAAATAGGTGAGAATAGTGGGAGTCCTATGTAAATGATTGCTGCATCTTTCCCAACCCTAGAATCAAGGAATGAGGTGTGGCCCATACAAAAAATGGTTTGTTTTCATTTTCTTTCTCCAGAAAGGTGATTGATTTTGGTTGCTATAAGTAACACACCTATTAAGTACCACCAATAAGTCTCAAGGTGTTTTTTGTAATGTGCTTCTTCACATCGATGGAGCCATGTGCATATATTAACCCCTTCATGACTGAGGCCTTTTTTTCATTTTTTTGCACCCGTTATATTCCACATTTTAGGCCTGAAAATTACTTAAAACCCCCAAACATTATATATTTTCTGAAAGCCAAGACCCTGTAAATTTTTATGTTGCACGATATTAGCGCAACTTCTTATCAAACCCCAAAATTTAGAGAAAACTGTACTTAAATGCCCCACAACACCATAAAATACCCATTTTTAAAAAATAAAATATAAAAGATGAGTAAATTGATACCCAACATGCCCAAGTTAAAAATTGTGTGCGTCCGTGAAATGGTGCCAAACTTCAGTACCCCAAAAAAGTCCATAGAAGACGCTTTAAAAGCCCCCACGGGTTATCAGTTTAGAGATGCCCTAGAATTATAGCTCTCGTTTCTCGTTTTCATACGTAGGCGTACCCGACGCGTGTGCTCGTGGGGGCGAGGGACTTTAAAAACATTTTTTACATTCTTTTTAGATTTATTTTATTTTATGTTAATTTTAAAAACTGTTACTTTTTTTTTATTTTTTTACTTTAATTGCTATCACATAGGGGGGCTTACAAGCCCCCCATGTGATAGCAGATGGTGGTGACAGGTACTCCAAAAGACCCCCAGTGTCACCTTTACACTCCAAATAAGCTATTGAAGTGCAGATCGCACTTAGTCAAAAGTCGATCGATTGTACAGTATTTGCGGTTGTACACTGCCCATTAACCTTACTAATATCGGACGAAAATGCGATTGCATACGAAAATTGGCCGATATTCGTAAGGTGTATGGGCACCTTTACAGACACTGCTCGGATCAGAGACTGAGAGGTGACTGATGAGCATTCACATGCTAAATCTGCTCTGCTCACACCAAGAAAAGACATCCCATTCATCTCTATGGGCCCCTGTTCACACCTGAGCATTTTATCACAAGCAGAAAAATGCCTGTCCTTGGAAAAAGTACATGAGCTACTTTTTGGCATATTACAGCGCTTTTTGGTCCCATAAATTTAAATGGGAAACTTTGTGTAACCAAACACTCAGGTGGGAATAGGTGCCATAGAAATTAATGGGATTCCTTGTCTCGAGCGCTTTGCCATGCTTACTTTTGAGTGACAAAATGCATAGGTGTGAACGGGGACTGAGACTGCATTCACACCTGGGCGATCCATGACTGTGCGACAATCGTGCACGAAAAGGCGCGGATGGCCGCTCAGTCATGGAGTCGCATACCACCGCTGATCGTGCTGGCGGTGCCATTTTTTTCTAATGGCACCCCAGTCGCCATTAATGGGAACCCAATGTAGGTTCACACCATATGCAGTGCGTTCTGGCCAGAACGCACTGCATCGCATTGCGGCCGGCTCACTTTTTTGTGGGGCATGGCGGGTCATTGAAGTTAATGGCAACATAGCCATGCCCTCCGGCTGCAATGCGATTGGCCGCACGGGATCGCAAGGCACATTATGCCTGCGGTCCGATGCGCTCAAAATAGTGCTTGCAGCATTTTGATTGCACTGCACCGGACCGCAGGCATAATGTGCCTTGCGATCCCATGCGGCCTCTTTCTGAATGTGTGGGAAGGGCAATGACCCTTTTTTTTTAATGCATAGCACCACAAAACTATGCCGCAGTGCGGATGAATTGCCTGCTACTGTTTAAAGTGCGTTGGGTTGCCATTCAAAGCCAATCTCACTGCACTGAGGTTCATTCACTGAGATATTGCACGCCCCCTTAGGCTGGGTTCACACCTAGGTGTATCGAATATGCGCGTTTGTCGCTCGTTTCGTCCCAAAGCAGCTCCTGCACTTCTTTGGGCGTTGGCCGTTTTGTAGCGCGTTCATACGGCCTGAAATACGCCCAGGTGTGAACCATACCCATAGGAAACAATGGTATTTCGGTGTTTGAGCGTTTTGCAGAGCGTACGAACGCGCTACAAAACGCCCAGGTGTGAACCGGGCCTTAGGGCCTGTTCACATGATATCAGGTGCGGATCTGCAGACGCGGTGCTACTGATGCAGTGCTACTGATGCAGTGCGTTTTTGCCGCATTTTTGATGCGTTCCAGTTAAAAAAAATTTTTTTTGCTGGAGTGGGGTTGTCAGTATGTTAGCTGCAGTGCAGTGCGTTTTTGAAGCGTTTTGCGTTTCCGGGTCCGTTTCCTGACCGGACAAAATGTGACATGCAGTATTTTTTCTGTTGTAACCTGAACGGACTGCGCACGTGAGAACTGTAGCCCATAAAACACATAGGGATACATTGGCATACATTTTTAGTGCAGAAGCGTACGGATCAGGTCAGCACAGAAAACGGACGTCGTGTGAACAGGCCCTTAGGGCCCATTTAGACTATGGGACACATTTATAAAGCAGTAAATCTGACAATCACCATACATTCACTGCAGGTGATTCTTTCATGCACTTGGTTTTTAAATGACAGTGGCTCATTCACCACCAGTAAATATTTCATGAAAGTCACATTTACTACTTTATAAATAGACCCATGTGGTATATTAAACGGACTGGCAGTGTACCTTGCTGGAGGGCAACAGTGCAAGCGAAACTCTCTGGATGGACCTGAACAGTTTTGACACTAAAAGTTGTCCTTTTTGATTTCAAAAAGTTGGAAGACCCTCCTCTGTGAAACCATTAACAATAATTTGAATGTCTGTCTAACTTCTTAAGTACAATCACCTGGGGGCTTTCTGTAACTCTTGTGAAAGGTTTTCTTATTTCTTAAATGTCAGGTGATTTTAATCCGAAAGAAAGAGAGACTATCGAGAATTTAATTCCATAACTTATGGGGTGCCTCATGTTGGAGGGACGGCGTCTATTAACGGCACCCGTCAAAACCGCTTACTTGAAAAGTGCGAGAAGATTTTCCCTTAAATGTCACTCTTCAGATAAGTTGATTGTAGCATTTTACTGAATTGGCTGGCTGGTCAGAGCTCATATTGGAAGGCTCGTTGCTCAGGTATACACATTTTATCATAAGTTAGCAGGATGCATAAGATGGAAATACGTTTTGCTACTGTGAGCACTTCCCAATGACTGACAGCCAATGCCGAGAGTGACCTTTCTGTTCTTTCACAGCCAAAACTCTACAAGTCTATTATCGAAGATGTTATTGAAGGCGTAAGTGAACTTTTTGCTGAGGAAGGTGTTGATGAACAGGTTCTCAAGGAGCTTAAGAGAGTAAGTGTCATTATTTTTAGCTATTTATTAAATCTTATGCTGTTTATCTTGTCCATGAACAATGAAGGGCACATTAAAGCTGAACTCCAGGAAAAATGTTAAAAACTACCCTTGCAGGTATACTCCCCTCACACTGCAAGGGTTAAATGCTTGTTTTTACCTAGGGTACTATTTGAAAGCACTCTTACCTTATCCCTCACTCCTCCTCTGCCAGTGCTCGCCTAATTTCTCCGACACTCTAGGTTACTGTAATTACTGCATCTTTTGTTAAAGTGTCCTGTGCTGGGAACATGCTGGAGATCCAGACCGGTGCTCAAACCAGAGCACAGAACTCCAGATCTCCATCACATGCCTCTTGCACACAGCTGCAGTCAACAACGCTCACTCCCCCTGCACAGGGGGCATGTGGGACCTATGGAGAAGGTTTTTGGTGAATGTCATATAGGGCTATAAGGTTAGTAGAGAAAGAGCCATACCTAATTTTTGAGCAGATTTTGTCAATTTGATCCAGTTATTTTTTTCGTTCATCCAAAGGAAGTATACTTGTGTCTGCTTTGCTTTTTAAATAATGTGTTTTTAAAGTGTCCCTTCTTCACAAGTTGATGTTGGTTATGAGTTTAGATGAAGCACTGAGATCTTGAGGAATGCTAAATTAATTTTTTTACTTGCTTAGAAGAACATTATATCAGAATACAGCATTATATAGCATACCGAGAGAACTTCATAGATATGCATGCACGCAAAGACTAGAATAGACTAGCATTGCACTACAGCGACATCTACAGCTCAAACAGCATTTTACATCTCAATATGCTGTTGCATTTCCAACATTTGGGTGGTAAGGTATACTGACCCTCCCCCACCCTCTTTCCTACTATAATGAAAGAAATTCTGTTGATAAAATGAATACTTAAAATAATATGCCCCCTGTATAGAACAACAGATATACTCACCTCTCCTACTGCCTGCACCACTAATCTCTGCAGAAGTGAATAGAAATCACCCCCTGAAGATTCTTTAGAAACCCACACTACTAGGAGTGATAGATGCCTGGTTTCACTGAATAGTTCCTCCCGTTGATCCGTTTGTCATTACTATGTCCTGTAGTGATGTAGGGGCCAGCAGGAGGAACCGCTGAGCATGACGGGGAGCCAGGAATTCAACACTTCTGGAAGTGTCAGTTTCTGAAGTGTCTTCCACCTCTCTTCACTTCTGCAGAGAGGGGTGTTATGGGCAGCAGAAACAGTATGGGCAGCAGAAACAGGGGAAACGTTATTTTAGATATTCATTTTAGTGACAGATTTTCTTTAAAGTGCAAGTCTACTTTTAGGTAGTGCATAGCCTTGTATTTTGTGAGCATCAAATGCTCTCCCTCATGACATTGTATGTCCCTCATAAATAGCTCACAAAATACAGCACAAAATATAGAAATGTGGACACATACTGATCAGGGCCCACTACTGGTTTTAAATAACTTTAGTTTATAAGAATAACTTTATTAACTTAACCAGTAACAAAAGCTTCAATTTAAATTTTTTTTTGGTGGGGGTTAAAGTAGATTATACGGGATATATGTAATGGTGTGTATCCCATTATCTGCAGGTTCTTGTAAAAATCCCGACCTCGCTGCTCCCTTCACAGTTGCTGGATAATATTACACTCAGCGGCTGTCCTCCAGTGCTGGCCTGCTCCCATCTGCTCTCTCCACCATTCACAGAGCTTACAGAGAGCAGAGGTAGGTGGGTCAGCGTTGGAAGACAGCCACCAAGTGTAATATACAGCGGCTGCGGCAGCGAGAACATCTTTTTTTCAAGAAGCAGCTGTTGAAACTATGAGGATACACATCCAGGGCTATCCCTATAATGAGGCGGTTGTCTAAAGGTGCCCATACACCTGACGATTATCGTACGATAATCACGGGTGATCCCGCGATTGTACGATAATCGGCAGGTGTATGAAAGGCGGGCGACCGTTTCTACAGTACGGTCGCACGTCTTTTGTCTCCCGAGCAGGCTTGAAAACGCGCCGAGAATTGTAAGATTTTCTGCGGGTTAGTGGCGTGCGCACACTGCCCGCTCAGCATTGCAGTCATCGGAAGCCCTCCCCTCATCAGGGCGGGCTTGCGATGATCGCAAGTACGATCTGCCTGTCCGAGATGAGCAGATCGTACGAACTTTTAATGACTTTACAACCATCGCAAGATGAAAGTCGTGCGATGGTTGTAAAGTGTATGGCCAGCTTTAGGCAGCATCTCATTAGGTCACGTGGGGGGAGGGGAGGTAGGTGTATCTATATGTAATGCTACAAAAATTGAAATAAAGATGACATTTCGAAGCAGAATGGTGTGCGGACAACATATCGTCTGTGTGTTCGCTGCCTCGTTTCCAGCCAGACCATCCCAGGTTTCTAAGAGGTCTAGGCAACTTGAGATGCTCTGGATAGCATCCCCAGGTCCTGGCAACCAGTCACATCAGTGAGCTGGGCAGGACTTTGCATACCCCCTTCCCCGTAACGTGCACATGCACCACTAGCAACCCCCCCATAATATGCACCATTATCACAACACCCAAGGCCCCAGGGACACCTCTGCACACACCAATACACATATCAAATGTAATTGGTGCTGTACCGCCCCAAAAAACAACAAATAAGCTAAATTTCAGCTTTACATATTAACCCCTTCGTGACTGACGACGTACAGTGTACGTCGCCATCTTAAGGACCAAGTTTCAGATGCTTATCTTTCAGTTCAGGGTGGGGAGTGATTCTGCAAGAGCGAACGGTAGTTCATTCTTCTGAGCTGCTTCCTTGATGATGGGTACAATTTACTATATAGCACACACACAATAGTATACATATTGTAGACTTATTTTTGCTAAATCATTGCCCTGTGTTCTGAAAAAAATAACTTATTTTTCTAGAAAGTCAAAGTTATGTTGAAAAAAAAAATTCTTCTGCAAGAAAAAAAAAAGATGCTGCAGGAAAAAAAAAAATTTTTTTACAGCTTCTGTGTGCCAAGAGAATTTTCTTATATTTCAATTGACTTGGATTTCAGCAGCTTTTTTTCCTGCTGAGTGAAAATGGTCTAAGTAGTGTATTTGATAGCAGGGATCTTCTGGGAGCACCTGGGAGCTTATTTAATAAGACAAGATCCTGTAACCCATAGAAACCAATGGGCAATTTTCTTTCATTGCTGTGTACTGATGAAAGACAGATTCTGGTAGCTGTGAGTTACTGTTCTTTGCATCTTTACATCAGAAATGCTCTTTACTCTGGTTTATGAACTAAACCAGCATGTGATTGAGCCTTAAACCACCTTTATGTGATAAGCTGCTGAGAGTCTGTGAGATTCATGTAGTTATTTAGGGTGGTATCACAATCAAATTACAGTTTTCACAGAGAGGTTTATTTGCATTTGTATATTATTCTATCTTATGGTGGCAAGTCCTTCTCCTGGCAAAATGCACACACAAATAAAATACATTTTAAAGATGCACGTCAGCCTGTGATACTATGTGCACAGGTATGTATGGGGCATACCCTCCCTATCTCTAGAGCCCTGCCATGCGGCATGTTGCAGTGGCTAACCTCCATGCAGGCTGGGTATCTTTTAAGATGGGTTAGATGAGCAGTTTGCAGTTTATCTCTGTAAAACAGTTCAGGAAGGGGGGTTGGATTGAATGAAGCTTGTAGGGAAGCATGCATTGTTTGCTTGCAAGAAACCCATCATTTTTCAAGCTAACAGTGTTTCGTAACATAACAGCAGTCTCTAACATCAGCCTTTTATAACGTACATTTATTTTTTACATTTAAAGCAAAAAATAAAAAGTTTCTTTTAATGTAGCCCTCCTCCCCAAGGTATACTTGGCTCCTGAGCTGCTCCATTAAACTCTTGAAGTCAAAGGATATTCCCCCTTATGTCCAGGTATGGAGGAGCATGAGACTCACTCATGTGACAGTGCGGGGCCAATCAGCGCTGTCGCATTTTGTAACCTTGTATAAGCTGCAACTTGCATAGTTCTTTCCTTCACTCCCAACAGCTGAATGAAGTGGTAGTAGTGCAAAAGAGAGGTAAGTATGTATGTGCTGAATTACAAGTCTGTTTGTTTTTTTTTGTGCCCTTTGTATGTTTTTCTGTTACCCTGCCTGTTTGATGCTAGTTGGTACAGTTATTAGGTAGACACTCCCTGCCTTACCCTGTTGTAAGTTCAGTTTCACTTTCCTATCAGAGACCAAGCTTAGGAAATTCATTGCCTTCTTAAGCGTTAAACGACTGGAAAAATTATCTGTTCTGCATTTACCTGAAGTAAAACTACATTGGATTCAACTTCTGTGGCTTAATATAATTATAATAATAATTATTTATTTATTATTCAAACATAAAGGATTTTACTGGTGGGGGAGGCACCACATCCAAATATATATTTATGTTCAAAATTATTTAAAATAGCATGCCGGCCTATAATGGTACTACATTACTCGTGTTTTAGGCTGGGTTCACACCTAGGCGTATCAAATATGCGCATTTGTTGCGGTAAAAAAAAACGTGCGACAAACGTGCGTTTCCAAGGGCTACTTGGCTGTATCCCAATGGAAACGCGCGATTAAAAACGCCCCAAAGAAGCTCCTGTACTTCTTTGGGCGTAGGGCATTTTGTAGCGCGTTCATACGGCCTGTAATACGCCCAGGTGTGAACCATACCCATAGGAAATAATGGGATTTCGGTGTTTGAGCGTTTTGCAGAGCGTAGGAACGCGCTACAAAACGCCCAGGTGTGCACCGGGCCTAAGAGATTAATATTTTTTTATTGAAAAAGTACTTATTTATTCAATAAAAACAAATTAAAATTCTATAAAGTGTACAATGCAATTACACAAAATCTGAGGGTTAGCCTCAAACTCTCACTGAACCAGCTATGATTTTTGTTTCAATATAGTATTTCAAACAAACCTTGTCCTTTGCGTTGATTATGCAGTTCAACCCTCTATGTATTGGTTGCT